GGCTTTTGATATAATAGATAAGCTGAAAGACTTGGAAGGAAACCACCTGTGGATAACAGAGTGATTGGAAAAACTCTTTGCCCTCTGTCTCCATCCCCAAAGAGATCATGTTTAGGAAGAATTCTTCTGTTAATACTGACACTTTCATCCTGGGTCAAAAGCTTGCTGGTGCTTGTTTGTCAGATATTTCCCCCTTTGGTTTCACACAGCCTCTTTCCTTTATAAGTTGGCCTAAATTCATGTCTTAATGATTCGGAGTTCACTCTTTAAAGGTCACTGCCCTAATGCATCAATATGAAACCAGGATCAGCTTGGTGTTACTCAGCAGCTAAGCTGATACTCTCCACGTTGGGCACTGGGGCGTTTTGGGGAAGAAGCATGTCCATGTCGTAGTGGCCTCAGTTGCTGGGAGAGAAGTGGCCCATCCCATCTAGGTGCATGTCTCTGATATCACCTCTTTAGGGAAGGAGGGGTGTGGCCCTGCCATTACCTTACCATTACCTGTAATGCCTCCAGCAAGCAGCTGTCCCTCTTGATTCTGGAGCACCTCCCTCCTGTAGCCTTAAAGTCTGCCTTAACAAACACACTGCTTGATTTTCTCAGTCAATTTACACCCTCTGAACATGGGACTATCTTTACAAGGACCTTAAAAGTCACCTGTGGTAACTGGGCATGTCACAGGTGAGAAAACTTACACCCCAAGCAGCCCAGTGGCTTGCCTGAAGGTGACACTGAGAATCCATAACTTGGCACCTGTGTTTCTTGGCTCCTGGTCACATAGCCTCCTGATACCCTGGCTGCCCCCAACCCCCGTGTATGAGGAAAGTCTCATGCATGACATGCTCTCCTGGAAGCATAGACCAGGTTCAAAAGAAAAAAACACTGATAAAGGAATGATGCCTAGAAAGATAGTCACCCGTGGGAGACCCCAGAGGATAGGTGGTGGGTCAGGTGCAGGGTCATGTGAGGATGAGACTGGGCAGGAGCAGGGACTGAGCAGGACCATGTGGCCAATGGCTGCTGGAGGAAAGCTCTGGGCTTGTTCCCACACTCTGAGTGGCCTGCACCCACGTGGTATACAGAAAGCTGGCTGCCAGTTGTGTGTTTGGGCTTGGGGGAGCTGCGGAGGCAACATTTAGGCCTATAACACATGTGTGCAGAGGGCAGCCCTGCTAAGGCGTGAGAGCCGATAGATCTCGTGGAATTCACAGGTTTGAGGGGGGAATGTCTGGCCTCCCCAAATGGTGAATGGATATAAGCTGGTGTAGGCTGGCATGCCAGAGGACTCCAGGGGAAAAAGACCCCAGGGCTCAGCCCCCCCCCCCCCTCTCCCCCTGCCCCCCCCCCCCCCCCGCGCGCGCTCTGCGTACCTAAGGTGTGAGGGGGGTTGGAATGTCCAGCCAAGTAGGTGAGAAGCTAGTATAGGAAATATCTAGATAGAAACCAACAGGGTAGTAGAAATAGCCTATCAACAAAGCTAAAAGGCAACTGACAATTACCCTTAAACTGTAGCTGTCTAACCTGTGGGCTGTAACTTTTTCCCTCATTAAAACCCGACCATGGTCTCCTTTGATTGGTAGCATGGTGCTTCACTGTCCTTCACCCTGATAGCTCTCTTCCTTGAACAAAAGACTGCCTGTTTAATTGAAACATGAACTGATACCTTCTCACTTTCTTACTTTGTTATATGCATGCTCCCAAAGCCCCAGTAAAACAGCCTGTAGAGGCTGATACGGTGTCTCTCTCTGGGTCGGGAGGAACAGTGTGTACCTGAATTTATCAAGCTTTCCGTCTCTTTCCAGACCCGGGTTGCCCAGTAAAGTCCCTGCTTGGGGAATTCCCAGTCTGTCGTGTAGCAGCTCCATCCCATTTAGGGTCTGTCTCTACAGTAGTGCACTGGAGGAATTTTTTAAACAGGGAAAAAGATGGAAAGGAGCCAATAGCCAGGTACTCTGGTGTGAAATATAAAGAGAAATTGTAGATTACAACCTAGAAGTGGATATGCATTTCTGGCTTTTGTGTTGAGAGCTCTTAAAAATGATTACTAGGAACCAAAACAAGTTCCCTGAAAAAGCAAAAACATCCAAATGGATCTTTCTTGTTGATAAGGTTTACTAGAAAAGAACCCTTGTGGGTGTTTTCCCCCTGGCCTTTGTGCCCTCACACAAAGGTACCATGCACCAGGGTGGGAAACAGTGGGTGAATTAAGCTGGTGTGTCCATCTCCTAGTGCTGTTGTAACACTTGTACATTAGGATGTCAGTAGGAGTGGTTCTTTCTGGAGGCTGTAAAGGAGAATCTGTTCGAGGCCTCTCCTGCTTTCTGGTGGGTGGGGGCAATCTTTGGGACCCCATTGCCTATCAGTGGTCTGTGTGTCTGTGTCCAAATGACCCTCACCTTATTAAAAAATCAGTCAGGGCTCGGCACCTATAGCTCAACCGGCTAAGGCACCAGCCACGTACACCTAAGGTGGTGGGTTCGAATCCCCAGCCCGGACCCGCCAAACAACAATGACAGCTGCAACCAAAAAATAGCCGGGTGTTGTGGCGGGCGCCTGTGGTCCCAGCTACTTGGGAGGCAGAGGCAGGAGACTCACTTGAGCCCAGGAGTTGGAGGTTGCTGTGAGCTGTAATGCCACGGCACTCTGCCCAGGGGGACAGCTTGAGGCTCTGTCTCAAAAAAAAAAAAAAAAAAATCAGTCAGGGGAATGGGTCCACCCATATCCAGTATGACGTTATTTTAACTTGATTGTGTCTACAAAGACCCTCTTTTCCCAATCAGGCCACCGTTACAGGTACCAGAGGGTGAGGACTTGAACATGTATTTGGAGGATGGAATTCAGTCCTCTCATCACTCTTGCATTCTACAGTTTTGTCCTTAACATCACAGAATTTTAGAGCCAGAGGGATAGTCTCAGTCTCCTGGCCTACCCAGGTGGCTGGCTCAGGGCACCTGTAGTCACAGAGGTAACAAGGGGCATAGCCAGGATCCCTGGGGCTTTTCTGTCTCTCTGTCTGTTGTGTTCCTAGAAACATTTTGTCTTGTATTTTATAAAATTCTGTTATAAAGTATCTTTTCCCCCACATAAGTTAGGGTTATTTCCCCAAGAATACTGTAACTCCTCACAGTTTCCTTGCATTTCCTTAGTGCCTACCATGAAGCTAGTAGGTATGGAAGTGAAAGACTTGACTGTTGATGGCCAGTGACCACCCTGTGGTGCATTTCTCTCTGCCACGCCTTCCCACAGACTTTGGATGATTCCCTGAACTGTTCTACTCTCCCCTGGCCTCAGAGTCCTGACAGTGCAGGGTACCGGGCCTCTACTCTCATTCAACACACAGTGGACCTGGTTTCAGGGGAGGCTTTATCCAAGGCTTAGACAACTCGACCAGAACCTGGCTGCTCTCCTTTTCTCAGCTCCATGTCTGAGTTTTTTATTTTTTTAAGAAAGGATGTATTTAATAAGAATAAAATATGAGGAAAGGAAGTATGTTCAAGACAAAGTGGTAAGAACAGAAATCTGTTGGTACGTCTGATTTATTATTATCTAAAATGATAATATTTTAAATTTTGAATTAAAATTTTAGAGATACATAATGAAGGAGACATCATTTGCAGGAGACTTCCCTATGCGCGTCTAAGTGTTGATCAGTGGATTAAAATATGCTAATACAAAAGCATTTGTTTAGGAGAAAACATATCTGAATAACTTTAGACTTTGTAAAGGAACTTCATATCTATGTGTGAGAAAATATAATCACAGAAATAATAGAAATGTAATCCTTTTAAAAATTTCTTTTATTGGCTCGGCGCCTGTGGCTCAAGCGGCTAAGGCGCCAGCCACATACACCTAAGGTGGCGGGTTCGAATCCCCAACCCGGACTCGCCAAACAACAATAATGGCTGCAACCAAAAAATGGCCAGG